TCATCATCATCAGCAGCAGCAGCAGCAGTCATTTGAACTGATGCTGCGCTGCCATACAACCATGAGGACCTAAGGAAAAACAAATAATAAGAGGAAGGAGAACTTACCTGAAAACCTTAATACCCCAGGCAAACACTCAGGGTCAAGGCGCCTACACCTTGTGTTAACAACATACTGTCACAAACAGCTGGCTATCGTGCAAAAATAAGGCGGCATCGGTGTGACAGCTTCCTTGCGGCTTTCAGTGCCCCGCGTCATAATCAGCCACTACTCCGCAGATAACTCAGCACCAAACACACTTTAAACAGGGAATCCGACTAGGAGACGGCAGCAGACGCGCCGCTGGTGTCGGTTGCGAGACGTTCGGTAAAGTCACAAGCCAAGCACAAGGTGAGTCACGTGGACTCCAGCCCGGAAGGCGAGAAGGACTAACGGCACCGAGTTGAGTTGTCAGTGACTTCATTTCATGCTGCCAAATCAACTTTTGTTCTCCAATTTGTCTGACCTCTAAGCATTGACCAATGTGGTAAGAGTAGCTCTTCAAGTGCCCGGAGGTGTGATAGTGAAGTTTACACATGTGCATAACTGTGGAAAACATCCGGAAACCTAAGCGATGACCCAAATCAAGCAGCGGTGACGTTGCTATCTCCGATTGGCAAGTCTGAGGACCGTTGTGTCGAACTGTATGCAATGTTGTTTGACTATTGAGTGAACAGACGAAAGCGACCGGTGGTCATATTCGGGAGTGCAAGCAGAGTAGAGTATAGGGTTCTCACTGTGAGCAATATCCGGTGCGATACAGCTACAAACGGATAAAAACACAGGTAAAAAAAGGCACCAACAGTACGCTGACACACCAGACCGATGCTTCGTCGTCAGGAGACAAAAATCCGCTGAATGCGGGCTGAGACCGCCCGCGCGTGCTAATGTTAGTACCGGTTTTTGAACCAAAGGGTTTAGTTGAGAACGCTAATCGTTCTGCTGTCTAAACCTGCGCAACACAGTATTCTGCCCAGGCAATACAATGAACCTTTCTTCTAACAATTTCTTGATGCTCTGGCCGTAGCAGAGGATAATCAGCGGCGCCCTATCCGCTGCATCGAGCAGGGTGGATAGGTGTTTGGATGTTACTGCTCAGGCCTTCCCGCCTTCTGATCCCCTTCATGCGCGCTTTCAACCTTATCGCTCCGCTCCAAGTTTACTTTTACCTAGCCATTTTCAATCTCCCAATTCTTGGTCTTCCCCACCTTGTTTCAATAGTCGCTTGTATTCTATTTTCAACTCAAACACAATCGCAGTGTATCACTCCAAGCCAGTCGACAAGTCCATGTTCAACCAAGCGGACGTCAGTTCATCCGTTTCCCTTTGGAGTGCTCGAGTTTCTCTAAGACTGGCATGCCACAACGTGGGCACTTTGCTACAAATTGGCCAACAGACAGCACTTGCCAGCATACTAGAGACCCTATCGATCGATATTTGCTGTTTATCAAAAATCCGACTGCAAGATTCGAGCCCCGTGCTTACCATGCGATCACCCACATGCGACACTGGCGGCACATTCTCATTGCGCCTGTCTGTCGATGATGCAGCTTCAAATGCTGGTCAAGCTGGCGTCGGCATTGTTTTAAGTCCGCGGGATGAAGCTGCCCTGATCTATTGGATCCCAGTCAACAGTCGGATGTGCGGCGTTAGATTAGCCGGTTCGTTCCATACTACGAAGTCGCGCGGGAACAAACGGTGCCTGTTTGTCATTGCGGCCTATGCCCCTACAACTGTAGCACTGATCCGGTAAAAGATGATTTCTATCAGCAACTTCACGATCTCGTTCGTTACAGAAGAAGCACGGATACTGTGGTGTTGGCTGGCGATCTAAACGCCTAAGTCTGAAAATTGTCCTCGGATGAACTTCAGCTGGGCGGCTAACATGGTGTGGGCTCCCGTAATGATAACGGTGAGCGATTGCTATAGCTGTGTAAAGATGCTCGTCTCTTTCTCGCGAGCACAAACTTTCAACACAGCACCGGCAGTAGCGTGATTTGGCGCCCGCCAGCTTCGCACCAGCCATGGACGCAAATCAATCATATCGCGATCAGTTATCGTTGGAGACGGTGTCCAAAACTGTCGCTCGATTTGGGGCACGAACACGGACTCTGACTACGAACCTGCTTGCGCCGACCTCCGGGTGCGTTTCGGTGGACGTCCGCAACGTCGATGTGAGCGGATTGACAACAGCCAGCTGGCGAAGATAGGTGTTCTGAATGTGTATCAAAGTCGCTGACATCCGGGATGAGTAAGCGATCACTAAACACCGTCAAAGATCATTGGTCGCATATCTGTCAAACGTTACTATCAACAGGCATATCTTCATGTGGCAAAGCAAATTGCCAAACTGGACAATGGGTCTCTACACAGTCTCTAAGACTTATGGATGGTCGCGGACGTATTCCGGCTGAAAACGAATACAATGAGGCTCGCAAAAATCTCAGCACAAAACTGCGTGCTAGCCTAAATAAAAACCGCGAAGCCTGGCGGTCTCATCGTGCCTCGGAGATGGAAACAGCCGCTACCGTCGGTAACCATCGCAAGTTATTCCGTCTGATACGAGAAACAGGCAACAGGAGACCTAGTGTCGGTGAGACCATACGCGAGGAGAGTGGGCAGCCGATCCACAGCCTATCAAAATGATTGGAGCATTGGGCCGAATACTTTGCAAGACAATTTAACCAACCTGAGTAATCGGTTTCTTTTTCGGGCATTGAGCGCTCTTCTTCCTGGGCGGTCTCCTTAGATCCGCCCTCACGCGCAGAAGTCGAACGTGAGATCAGGCTGTTGAAGTTGCATAAGGTCTCAGGGGCAGACAGAATTCTCCCAGGCCTCTTCAAATTCGGGGGACCTGCTCTAGTAGATGATTTACACGAGTTAGTAGTAAAGCTTTGGGATCACGAGACTGTAATGACAGACTCAATTTTCAAGGGAGACTCCCGTTCGGAATGCGGCAATCATAAAGGAAACAGTCTGATCGCAATTGCCTATAAATTGCTTGTCTGTCATTCTCTACAGATTGACTGGTACTAGTGAAAGCCAGATTCGTGAAATGCAAGTCGGGTTTCGTCAAGGTCAAGGCTTCATCGATCACATGTTCACTTTGCGTCAATTGTTGGAGCACCGCCATGTTTATTGATAACCCACCGTTGTCGTGTTCCTTGACATAAAAGTTGCCTTTAACTCAGTTGATCGATGTGCACATTGGGACTGTCTGCTGAGGAGAGATGTGCCTGATAAATACATAAACATTATCAAGGCGCTCTATGCGCATAGTTCGGGCAGAGTGAGGGTTTATGGCAGACTGTTGCCAATCTTCAGTATCACTAGCGTTGTGAGACAAAGTTGCCCGCTGTCCCCTTTCCTGTTTAACTTCGCAGTTGACGAAGTCATGGAAACAGCATTCGCTGGACACGACCAAGAAGGTGTGGAGCTACTTCCTGGTGAGCGACTTCTTGACTTGGAGTATGCGGAAGATATTGCCCTAATCTGTGACAGCTCCCAAAGGTGCCAAGCAGCACTGGACCGATTAGCACTGGCTGTCTATCGTTTAGGCTATGCTTTGTATCATCGAAATGCAAAGTACTTCTCCAAGATTGGCAGGGACCCACCTCTGCGCTAATGCTTTGTGGTGATCAGCTAGAAGTCATTCAGAAATTCAGGTACCTTAGCAACTATACTAGCGCCCGTGGGATGGAAGATGAGGTTACGAACCGTATAGCAAAAGCTCGAGGTACTTTGGCTAATCTCCGCCACGTGTGGCGCAGACGCGACATTACTCTCGCCCTGAAGGGCAGAGTTTAGAATGCAGCCGTCTGTCCAACTCTCCTACATGATTGTGAAACCTGGCCCATCAGGTCGACAGACATAAAGAGGCTCGTCACATTCCACCATCGCTGCCTTCTCAGCTTAGCTCATGTCTGGTGGCAGCACCGCGTGAACAATGAGCGTGTTCGGCGTCGCGTATTTGGTTCAGGAAGGGCGAGTGAACTGCTGAGCACCGTACTGTTACGCCACAGGCTTCGATGGCTGGGCCACGTGTTGCGCAAGCCAGCACATCGACTCCCGCGATGTGCATTGTTTGCGCGCAGGGGGTGCGGTTGACAGAGGAGGAGGGGAGGCCAAGCGATGACTGGCTCGAGAGGAATGAAAACCCTCACTTTGAAACTGGCGTCAGTTGGTGCATCCCGACTGCCTGGCTGGGGTTCTAAGGACGATGAACACATTTGGTTGGACATATTTGCTGATACGACGAAGAGCCGGTCCTAATGGCGCTTGTGTTGTGAGGTTCTTTGTCCATCCCCCTCTCTTTAGGTTCCCCCCTCAAATTCCGATCTCATGCGATACACATAGTATAATATTGAACATCATATTTTTGTAATGTAATTCTTTAGTCTCTTATCTTTTTGCATTGCGGCACATTAGCTGAGGTGTTTCTCACCCTCAGCTAACGTGTGCTGATGATAATTAATACCGGTAACTTGTAGACTATGAGGCAGACACCCTATAAATTCAGACACCTGTCCACGAGGAATGCCGATCAAGTCCTAAGGGAAGGTCAAAAATGGGACTAAGTAAGAAAAAAGTACGGACCCGTCGAGGTGGGCCAGTGCCCATCCAGCAACAACAAACTGGCCCGCCTAAAGGAGTTATCGCTGAGTTGTTGTCTCTCTGTGATGCTCGAACTTTTATTCCAAATTGCTGACAGACCCCACTTCTCCCAGGGATCAGTGGGAGATCAAAGAGCTGTCGTTAAGCAGCGATGCGACTAAGCTGGCAAATTGATGTAGATGACAATGACGTGAGTGACGTTGATAATAACGACAGGCGTCACACGGCAACGCTACTTTTCGGAGAACACTACTATCATCTAGAAGACCGGCTGATCATAGAGTGGGACAATAGGCACGTTATACTGCAGGATGAAAGAAACATACATGAACAGACATAACACTCACCATCTGCACTTGGGGGGCATGAGCTTCTTCAACGCTTCCAAGGCCTTTTCAGAACGATAATTCTGAATAAATGCGACGGTAACCACAATACAAACAGCCTAGATCAGTGCGAATGATTATGGATTCAATATAGGGCACTTACGGCTGTAATGCTTACAGTGTCGTCGTACTGGTGCATAAGGAAACTGACTCCGGCCGAGATGAGGAGCAAAATGATCATCGGCTCTCTGAATTGTTCCAAGTATCGCCGGAGCAACGACTCTCGCGGACTGTGATCGAAACTGTTCGGTCCGGAAACTTTTCTACGCCGTTGCACTTCGACGTCATTCAAACCGAGGGAAAAATCTACTTGCAGTAGTTTAGAAATCTCGGCATTATCTTTCACTGCTGCTGCTCTGGCGCAAAGACTGTAACTCATATCGACCGGGCGCTGTAAAACGGCTAATCAAGGGTACAAAGAGTTGGCGACAATAGTGGAAATATATTGGCACCAATGGTGCAAAATGCACATATCAGTCCTCAGACTGTGAGTGAGGTATGGAGAAAAGGAGTGCATGAAGAAACGCCAGCAAACGCGGGAGTGGAGATCTCTGTAATTCCGAGATAGTTTGCTGCAAATGGAACAGAAAAACGGAGTACAGGAAAACACGAAAGTACAGTTGTAAAGAACTTTAATAGGAAGAAGAAACGTAAATACCTTGAGCGTTTGAATGTGGTAACACCAGTCCAGATAATGATAAGTTAAGAGAAAAAAGTGAAACCAGCGTTTCCCAAAGCAGAAACTTTAGTTGACTACTTGTGAATATATGCTAAAATAAAGCATCAGCAACATCACTTTTACTTGCCAGCTAATAGTGAGAAATGCCCCAACTACTGTGTAGCAAAACATGAGATAAATGAAAAGGCGAGAAACAAAAGATTACAGAATACAATATAAAAGCCAAAAATCAACATGATGCTTAGCATCGTGTTACGCATGGATGTGAAATATTGGCTGAAAGAAAACAATAAGCAGGGAGAGTGAAAGCAAATAAATTCGGAACACAAAGGCCATTGAAGTCAGCTATTCGCTATGCCAATAAGTTTCCATCGTCATTCGGACGCCGGCCCGGCAGTCAGAAGACACCGACGTGCGGGCTTTCATTCCACTTGACCCAGCCATCGCTTGGCCTCCCCTCTATCTCTCCCATCCACATCCCCAGCCCGCAAACAACGCACGCCACAGGAGTGGGTGGACTGACATTCGCAACACCTGGCCCAGCCATCGGAGGCTTGTGAGTGATATTACGGTGCTGAGAGGTGCACTCGCTCTTCCTGCATTAAATGCGATTTCGAACACGTTCATTCCTCACGAGATGTCCCCATCAGACATGAGCTAAACTCAGTTCAGTTGAACAACTGTGATCCGAGCACCGAAGTGTGGTGGATGCAGTTGTCACGACTCACATCGTATGATAGTGGGGGTAAAGGCGAAGAGAATGTAGAGAAAATGGAGGCAAGAAGGAAGTGCGTTAAACTAATCAGAATGAAACGAAAATTATCTAACAGATGCAGGAACGCCACTGACTGTGGGACTGTGCCATACCTGATACACTCTCCAACCACTGGTATGGAACATCCCGAGGCAGCCAACGATGAACACGGAATGCATCAACATGATCATGTCTCTCAGGCAGTTTCTTAATGGCTCCATGCCACGTCATGAACTGAGCACCTCGCGGTTTCGCCCAACTTGGCGCAGTCACGGTGTACAATGCACGACGAGGAAGCCGGTCAACGGGCATACGGCTTAGCCAATGTAAGCGATTAAGATGCAGTGAGGAACCAAAGGGCTCCTTGCCAAAAACCAACTGGCGGACCACAACACTGCTCACTCGGTGTTCCCACCAGGCGTGAGCAATACTCCGCAAGCACCGATGGTCCAACACAGCCAAGCGTTTAAAGTTTTCGCCGCGAACCGGACAGGTCTCTGATCTATGCAGTAAGACCAGCATTACCGCAGCGGTATGCCATAAAGTAAACTGCGAAAGTAGTGATGGCCGAACGTAAAAAGCCTCTGGATGGCGATCTGACGGAATAGGTTTCACAATCGTACACTAGGGTCGAAGGATTACTGCGTTTTAAACTATTTAAGGCAAGAGTGATGTCACACCGGTGCCACAAGTAAAGAGGTTGGCGAAATCGCCTCGAGCTTTTACTATACAATTCGTGACCTGTCTTCTATTCTACAGACGCTAATATAGCAGCGCAAGTGCTTGAATTTCTGAACGACTGCTAGTTGACCCCCAGCAATTGTCTGCGCAGTGGTGCGTCTTTGTCAATAGTAGAAAAGAACATTGGATTTCGAGGGTGCAAAGCATAGCCCGAAACAATCGACAGTTAGAGATAATTTGTCCGCTGCTTCGTGGCACGTTTGGGAGCCGTCACAGATAAGGGCAATGTCGTCGGTATACATCAAGTCAAAAAGTCATTCACCTGGGAGCAGCTACATACATTGTAGGTTGTGGCCAATGAACGCCGTTTCCATGTCTTCGTCTGTGGAAAAGTTGAAGTGAAAAACTATTTTCGTATAAACATTCACGCTACCCGTACCATATGCGCACAACGAATTGTTAATATCTATATATTCAGCAAGCACATCTTTCCTCGGCAGACAATCCCAAAGGGCACACAGATCCACTGAATCGAAGGCACCTTTGATACCGAGGAACACGACCCTGGCAGGTCGCCAACCAATATGGCGGTGTTCCATACAGTCCCTATTTCGATGAAACAAGGCTCGTTGCTCGCGAATCTGACAAAAAACAACTGTCAGCCAGTGCTAATCGGTCCAGTGCTGCTTGGCATCTTTGGAAGCTGTCACAGATTAGGGCATTATCGCCAGTATACACAAAGTCAAGAAGTCGCGCACCATGAAGCAAAGCCACACCTCGTAAGTCGTGTCCAGCGAATGCTGTTTCCATGACTTCGTCAATGGCGAAGCTAAAGAGAAAAGGTGATAGCGAGCAACCTTGTCTCACCACTGGAGATATTAAAGCCTGGCGACGGTTTGCCATAAATCCTCAATCTGCACTAACTACAGCGCTGTGATAATGTCCGTATTTTTCGGGAACACCTTCCTGGAGCAACAGTCCCAAAGGGCACATCGATCCACCGAATCGAAGGCAACTTTGATGTGAAAACACGACTACGATGGGTCGCCAATAAATATGGCGGTGCCGCGACAATTGACACAGTAAAGATGTGGTTGATGCTGTCTCGATTTCGACGAAACCCGGCTTGCTCCTCGCAAATCTGGTCTTCACAGTCAGCCTGTGCAGAACGGCCGACGCAAGCACATTAGGGGCAATTGAGATCAGACTGATCCCTCCATGAATGCCGCATTTCGAACGGGAGACGCCCTTGAAAATTGGGACTAAGACGGAGCGGCTCCATTTAGTTGCGACAGTCATCTGTTCCCATATTTTCACCAGGAACTCGTGTAAATCAACTACAGAAGCAGGTCCGCCGAATTTGAGGAAGGCCGAATGAATTCTATCTGCCGCTGCGACCTCAATCAATTGCAACAGTCTGGTCTCACGTTAGATCTCTGTGCGTGATGGCACATCCAAAGCGACTGCCAAGGGAGTAGTGTGATTAATAACCAATGGGGAAGCTGATAACTGATTGACTGAACTGCCCAACTCTCCAAAAGTATGGTCTCGCTAACATCAGGTCTAATGCCCGTTTTCCCGGTGGTTACCAACCACAGCGGCTGTTTCCAATTCTGGTGCAACATGAGACCACCAGGCTTCGCGGTCTCTCCTCAGGCTAGCAAGCAGTTTTGCCCTGGGACTTTTGCGAGTCTCATTATATTCGCTTCCAGCCGAAATACTAAGGCGAGCATTCAGAAGCTCTGTGATTGCTGCATTCTGAACAGTAGACTCCCTTGAAAAAGGGGACTTTGACGAAGCGGCCCCATTCAGTTGCGACAGTTACCTGCTCCCACACTTTCACTAGTAACTCGTGTATGTCATCTACAATGGTACCAGGCTTCGCGGTCTCTCTTCAGGCTAGCACACAGTTTTGACCTGAGATCTTTGCGAGTCTCATTGTGTTCGCTTCCAGCCGGAACATGTCAGCGAACATCCAGGAGTTTCCTGGACTTCGTCGAGACTTTATGTCCAGCTTGAAAATTTAAACTGCCATATGAAGAAATGCATGCTGCTAACAACGGCTGGCGAATGTGGCTAGTGATATTCAACTGTGTTCAGGAAGTACTTATTCAGCTCGAATGTCAGCGCACTTTGATGAGTATTTAGAGCAGCGGGCTACACCAATTGGTAAGTATCTATGTATTCACATCATCGTTACTGATGTCCGCCGAAATGCACCTGCAGGTGCATGGTCGAAGTCCTCGCTCGTACTCCAAATCGATCGGCATTTCGGACAGTCCCTCCCATATTAACTTGTCGCGAGGTGATCGATTTGCATCCATAGCTGATTCGGGGCTGGTGGGTGGCGTCACTTTTCTGCGGATGCTGCGTCAAAAATTAGCACTCGTGATAGGTAAACGAGAATCTCCAAATCGGTGAAGGGACCGATCATCATTACGGGAGTCTACACCATGGTGGCTGCCCAGATGCAGCTCCTCGGTGGACAGTATTCCAACTTGGGCGTTCAAATCACCAACAAGCACCACAGCATCCGCAAGTTTTCTGTCAGCATCAGCACCATTATGCGCCTTAGCTAAAAGTGGAAAACATCTCAGCTACTGTGTCGCAATACGTAAGAAAATAAAGGAAAAAGACACAACAGGTGCACGCCAGTTGAGCTACCAGTAAGGAATGGGCATCGTTCCGGAAACTTACCAGCCGGCTCCTATGCAGTAAAAAAGATTTATTATGCAAAATTTATATTATGGTAAGAAATGAAATCGTGGTTGGAGGGGGAAGCTGAACGAGAGAAGGGACAAAGAAACTCACGAGACGAACGCCAATGAATTCGGTTCTTAGCTATGTCAGCAAGATTAATGTTGGGTCTGCGCCACATGTGGCGGAGATTGGCAAAAGCCTGAGCCAACGCGACTTATTCAGTTGATTATCACTACCTAGTGCTCGCCTACGCACATCATCGTTGCGGACACGCTGGCGCCATCCGACACCAGCAATGTTTCGCTGACAACGATGATCAAAGACCTGAAGGCGCTTTAGAGCTTCAGACCCAAGGGGCTAAATTTCACTACCATAGAGCAGAACGGCCCTCACTATGGCCTTGTATACACGGTCTTTTAGACAGAGGGAAATTCCCTTCTGTCGCCAAAGATGCCGTAGGTTCAAGAAGACAACTCTGGCCTTTGCAATGCGTGAGCTGACGTCAGTTTCTATGCACCCATCGTTGCTGATACAGCTGCCAAGATAAGTGAATTGATCAACCACC